AGACGAGCTGGTTACACAGCTGAAGCGTCAGCCCACAACCTGACCACAAGCAGTGAGCAATTCCATGCACGAGCCCTGATAATGGTTTTGGACGGCCGCCGGTGACACTGTGAAACCGTATGATAATTGGGAGGGGGTGGGGACTGGGAGGAAGGGGCATCGGATCGACGTTTTTTCCCGACATATAATTGATCAAGTGCTTTATGCAATGGATTTTAATTTGATAGATAGAACGTTGAATGGACTTGAAGACATCGTCGAAGGTTGAAGTGTTACAAGCGGTAAACACCAAAAGACCGAGTGCGAGTTTGGAAACGCATACTGGAACGCTGATGGAATAATTAAAACTGACGAAGTGTTGTGTTGTCGATCGTTAGCGATCCAAGATCAGCTAGCTACGGCCATGTTCTGGTCACGATTGCCGTTCGCTTTCTGACTTGCCGTTTTTATGGTCGTGACAGTGACAGAATGTGTGTCTTATTTGCATCTACCTTGTTGGCGCGGGCTCTACCCCTTTACTTCTCCCAGGTCCCATTAGAAATACTCGAATGAAATCTACGAAAGAAAACAAGAAAAGCATGGATACAATGACGCAATTACATTTTGGCGGGCATTCACTTCGCAAAAACTAAACAAAACGTTTCACCGTCAGGTGAATGCTTTATCCCTCGCCCTGGCAGGGCCTTTTTCATAACACGGCCTGGCAGGGGGGGGGGGTCGATGCGACCCCCCCCCCCTCGCGATTGGCTCCTATGGCACCTAGAAACACCAAATTTGGCAGGTAGGTGGGCCCCATGGAGTTCTCGCCCCTGTGCAAATTTGGTTGTTCTAGGTCAATATTTAGGGGGGTTTTGGGGGGTATAAATGTAAAAATTTCGCTAAAAACAGGTCAAAAGTTTTTCGCTTATAACTTTTGATCTAATTAAGATAGAGCAAAAAGAAAAGCACCAGTGAACTCAGCACGTCAAGGCGCGTCGAATGATATACTTTTTAGCTTGCTTAAGTGTACTTAAAGTTTTTCTTAATTTTTAAGTAAGCTTAAATTAACTAATTAAGTTCAAATTAACCAAATTGCATCATATCGCATATCATTCGATTCGGCTGATCACCAGGAACACAATGACACCATTTTTAAGCTCTAGCGTCATTATGTGCCAAGTTATTGGAAAAAGTGTGATTTGACCTCAGTTGACCTCATTTGACCTGACCCATGGATAAGTACACCAAACAAAGAAGCACCAAGTGACCTGCTGTTACGTACTGTGGTTTCAAAGCACAAAAGTGATAGAACGAAGCGGATATCTCCGGTATTTTCCGAATTTAGTATTTTCCCATAGGCTTAACATTACGACGCAATGACCTCTAACTGACCTCAGGTCAGTGACCTCAAAAAACCCAAACTATATGTTATACAACTCGGTGAACTTAGCACATCCTGAAAGTTTGAAGGAAATCAGTCGAAAACTGTGAGTTGTACAGGTGCAAAAAGAAAGTTGAAATTTGACCATGACCTTGTACCGGTTTTTCTGACCTGGTGACCTGACCCAAGGTCACCCGGACCTGAAATTTTCAGGTCATATGTAAAAAGGCTGCCCCATAGGCTGTGCCAAATTTGGCGGCGCTGCGCGCCGCCGTTTTTACGCTATCTTCGAAAAACCTTAGGGGGGGGGGGTCGCATCGACCCCCCTGCCAGGGCGAGGGTTAAAGGTATGCGAAGAAGTTCCGTGAAGTTGATTCGAAGTTTCACCATGTGGAGATCGTAATTGGGGTGGAATTTAATAGTTAGGATGGCCAGAAACTTTGGATAACCAACATCACAGATGACAGTAGCACTACTGTTATCTGTGCCAACATCTATCACTAACATATATCTATTGACTACCGTGACACACCAGATCGGCGGTACTTCAGGCACCGGTCGAACTCGTGACTCGTGAGTCCGGCGCCAGTTAGATCGTGAGTCGAGCGCCACGCTGGCTCGTGGATCAAGCTTCTAAGTATACACTCATGACTCACGAGCAGGGCGCTATTTGGACTCGTGAGTAGAGCTCCGATTAGACAGTGAGATGAGTGCTATTCAAGCTTATGAGTCCGGCAGTGGGCTCTGCCTCAGCCTGAACTCGCGAGTCCAGTCCAGCGCCGAGTGGACTCGTGAGCTCCGTAACGACTGGACTCAAAAATATGATTACCGATAACTGACGATTCCAACTGACTCACCTTATAAGTGGTGTCCACCAATTTGGCCACCTCGTCTGTATCCAACTTATTAGTCGTCATGATGTCGGGTATACCACCGGCTCCTTTGCTCACAATTCCTTCTCACCTACACGACCTCCCACCCACCATACGCTCCTAATAGAGCCACTGAGTCAGGTATTCTGTCATTTTACACAACAATCACGCCTCCACAAGCCCACAGGAGCGCGCGGTAGAATCTCCAGCACTCGAGCTCCGCGCTCGACTGACTGGCCTCGCCGTCCGTCGGAGAGACCCGAGGCCTGAGCCGAAAATGGGCCCGGCCTAGCCTGCCATCTAGTGAGCGGTTTAGTAAACTGGTTCGGCCCAGGCTCTCTCGCTGTAGCGGTGGCGTGTTTTGTTGCCCGAGTGAAATAGCAACCAAGAAAACATCCAAACGGAACGGTGGGATCTGAACAGGGGCGGATCCAGGAAAACTCCAAGGGGAGGGTCATGAATCGAAGTGGTGCCCCTACCTATACCCAAAATTAAAAACTCAACGGATTTCGTCCACTTCATTTTGGTGGTGCCCCCATTTTCAGTTTTTTATTTTTATTTTTTATTTTTAGTCAGTATCTTACCTCTTAGCCACAACCACATTTACCAATTGTAAGCAAGTATATATGAATGTGCTATGTGTATATAGGTTGTGGACGCTGAGTAATGAGTACTTACCAGGAACGTTATCAGGTAAGCAAATCGTTGTCAGTCCGACGAACTTGACCCTGGCGTCTAAAGGGTCTGTCCTTGACACTTCAGGCTTGTCAGGGGCACCAAAGTTCTTCCAGGGACACCACAAACCTGTCAGGGGCACCTACGGCCTTGTAGGGGCGCCACAGGCCCGCCAGGGGCACCACAGGCCTGCCAGGAAGCAGGGGCACCACAGGTCTAGCAAGTACATATACACGACAGGCCTGTCAGGGGCACAACGGGCCTGTTGGGCCCATGAGCACCCCTAGGGGCAGGGGCACCACAGTCCTTCCAGGGGCACCGCAGGCCTGTGAGGGGCACCAGCGGCCTAGCAGGGGCACCAGTCAACACAGGCCTGCCAGGGGCACCACAGACCTGCCAGGGGCACCAGAGGCCTGCCAGGAGCACCACCGACCTCGCAGGGGTAACTTAGGCCTGTCAGGGCCCAGGGGCACCACGGGCCTGTCGAGAGGCACTTCAGGCTTTTCAGGGGCACCATAGTCCTCTCAGGGCGCAGGGGTAGCAGGGGCACCAGAGGCCTGCCAGGGGCACTACAGGCCTAGCAAGGGCACCACTGGTCTATCAGGGGCACCACGAGCCTGTCATAGCCAGGCATCTCAGGCTTGTCAAGGCCCAGGGGCACCACAGGTCTGTGAGGGGCACCAGCGACCTAGCAGGGGCACCAGTCAACACAGGTCTGCCAGGGGCGCCACAGACCTGCCAGGGGCACCACAGACCTGCCAGGGGCACCAGAGGCCTGCCAGGGGCACCACCGGCCTCGCAGGGGCACCTTGGGTCTGTCAGGGGCACGACGGGCCTGCCGAGGGGCACTTCAGACTTTTCAGGGGCACCAGTCCTCTCCGGGCGCAGGGGCACCAGAGGCCTGCCAGGGGCACCAGCGGCCTAGCAAGGGCACCAGAGGCCTGCCAGGGGCACCAACGGCCTAGCAAGGGCACCAGAGGCCTGCCAGGGGCACCACAGGCCTAACAAGGGCACCACGGGCCTGTCAGGGGCACCTCAGGCTTGTCAGGGGCACCTCAGACTTGTCAGGGCCCAGGGACACCACAGTCCTTCCAAGGGCACCGCAAGCCTGTCAGGGGCACCAGAGGCCTGCCAGGGGCACCACAGGCCTAGCAAGGGCACCTCTGGCCTGTCAGGGGCACCTCAGGCTTGTCAGGGCCCAGGGGCACCACAGTCCTTCCAGGGGCATTACAAGCCTGTCAGGGGCACCAGAGGCCTAGCAAGGGCACCACAGGCCTGCCATGGACACCACAGGCCTGCCAGGGGCACCACCGGCCTTGCAGGGGCGCCTCAGGCCTGTCAGGGGCACCACGTGCCTGCCGGGGACACTTCAGGCTTGTCAGGGGCGTTACAGTCCTGTCAGGGCCCAGGGGCACCAGGCCCGTGGTGTCCCTGCTAGGCCTGTGGTGCCCCTGGCGGTCCTGTGGTGCCCCTGTCAGGACTGTGATACCCCTGATAGGCCGGTGGTGCCCCTGGAAGGTCTTTGGGCCCCCGGGCCTAAAGGGGGGGGCCATGACCCATGTGACCCCCCCCCCCTTGGATCCGCCCCTGGATCTGAAACGCGTGAGATCGTCGAGTTACGTCCCTATTGTTTATTCTATACAAATGAGTAAACATTAAGGACAAAACGTTTCACCGTCAGGCGTAATGCCCCGTATAAACTTCAAAATTCAATGAATTTATTTCGAAGTTTCACTATAAAACGCTATGTCCGAGCAAATAACAAGCACGTCCGTCCCATGACATGACTACATGGCTCAGGAGTCCGGAACGGGTGGCAGGTCCGGAACCGGGCATACTGAGATTAAAGCTGTGATTGACATGATGGACTGAACATGGCTTACCTTTGTGAAGGCAAGTCACTTGTCCAATCCAGATCTGTAAGACACTGAGCAGTGAACATATGTAGTTATTCCCTCAATGGTTCCAGTTTGCTCAAAATGCACCCACCGCCCATCTTGAAGAACTAGCTCGAAAGAAAAGGTTAATAACAACGCCACGTGCTTTTACGCTGTTAAAGTGTATACAATGTTGATGACCTCTCGAATTTGTGCATTTGCAGTGATTTGTTTGCAGAAATGAGGACACCATACGAAAATGTTTATAATGCTTTCACAGTCATTTCGCCAAATCATTGGCAAACTTTCGTATTTAACGTAGAAAATTCCAAAGCTCGAGTAACATAACATTTTTGCACGTTTAAAATGACTCATAACGAAACGTCTGGATGCTCTATGAGCACTCTGTGCATTTTTGCACTCATTAGCTTCGTAATCATCATTGATCATCGATGTCGTGGTGAGGGAGAACAGAATGTTACGACGGAGTCGACCACAGAAGCGCAGCAGCCAACAAACACCACAGATTCGTCGTTCTCCGTAAGGGATTTTAATCGTTCAAGTTTAAGGCACATTGAATGTTCGAAGAGGACTTTGCACACACATCATTACAATCGATTTCTTCCGCCAACTTTCAATCGTCATATGCTGAACAGGAGTCAGGCGGAATGCAAGGAATTCAAGGAGGAGATACAGCTTCCCCAATGCAGCCTTATGGTCATAAACAAATTGGACCTTCTGCAAATAAAGAAGATCGATGAAGAATTCGGTAGCGTCCGAATGCTGATGATTTTTCGACAATATTGGACGGACACAAGACTGCGTCTACCGCCTGAGTTCACAAACGACTGTCCTAATACATATGAGGTGAACAATGGTACAGCATCGTATGTCCCCGATATAACTACAAGCCACTTGTGGTTGCCAGACACTTTTATCCACGGCATTGAAGAAGTCTACAAACCAGAGATTTTGATGAAGGCACAAACATTCGGAGTGAACGCGAAAGGACGGATAACATTCACGATGTTTGGCGTCTTCAAGTTATCGTGCAACATGAGATTGCACAACTTCCCGATGGATATCCAATACTGCCCAATGTTTTTGGAGAGCTGGCGTCTCACCGAAGATTTCCAAACACTGGTGTGGTCCAAGAACCGGCCCATCGGCATACAAAAAGCCTACAGTCTGGATCAATTCGACCTCCAAGTGCGTGTGCTCGACATCCAAAACGTCAAATACATGACAGGGAACTTCTCTCAGCTAGGCGTCGTACTCATCTTCTCCCGCAAGCTACAATTCTACATCCTTCAGATCTACTTTCCTACGGTGCTGTTCGTCATCATCTCCTGGTTGACGTTCATCATACCTCCGACATACGCACAGGGGCGGATCATCCTCACCATTACCACTATGCTGACGCTGGCAGCCCTCTTCACGCTCGTCAGTGTCCACTCGCCGGATACATCCTATCTGAAAGCCATCGATATCTGGATGTTTGTCTGTTTGACGTTCGTATTCGCAGCCGTCGTCGACTGTCTAGTGGACATCCGTCTACTCTTCGTCGTCTCGCAGACGTATAAAGAAGAAAAACTTGGATTCTTCACACCGATATCGGTTGCGCTTGTGGAAAACAAACGCGTGTTTGCTGACTTCTTCGGAGATGAACACAAAGAAGAAGAAAGTGAAGATGTTGCTGCTTCAGCTGCCCCGTCAGAGTTCTTCGATGTCTCCAGTCGACCTGACATTACTGCTGCTGGTTCTTCAAGCGCTGGGGTGCGTTCCATCGTAAAATCAGGCCCCTCGAAGCAGCGCAGTGCTGCTGCCTTGGGTGTCACCTTTGCCCCCGAGCCATCACCAAGCGCGATTCCCACTCCACCAGAGGCTGTCACAAGGCAACGAAGGGCGACTCTTGAAGACCGTTTGGATCACAAGGCTGTCGTGTTTGAAAAGCTTTCTCTGATTCTGTATCCGCTAGCGTTTATAGTGTTTAATATTTGTTATTGGGCCTACTATCTGACGGCTGCGCATCCACCGGAGGATTTAGCAGGTCCGTTGGAGCGCGGGTTCACCCCAGAGCCGATCGTCATGCATTTTCTGGATGAAAGTGAGCTACACTGAGTTAGATCAGCATGATCGAGTAGTAAATGGAACGTGCTGTGAATATGCCAAACATATTTCGTCTCGGTCTTTGTTGTTTTCCGTGCTGAATGATTTGTAATCGTGTAAATGTGATTGCAACGTTTACAATTTACATTGTGGCATGAGTGCTTCAGCATGATTCTGTCACCAGTCACCACACCCAAGATTGAAGTTCGTTTGATGGCATACATTTCAATGCTTCTACTTATCGTTCACTGTGTGAAATGCGTACTTGTGAAGCATAATGTATGACCGTTTGTATTATCTCACGTCGGTGAACAGATAATTAGAATGTAAGTGCACGACCTCTCAAGGCAATACACAAGCATCAAGGCTCTTATCGTCAGAAAACAGCGAACTCCAGCCAGTGAGCTCTGATGTACCGATTTATAACGGGACAGAATAGGTTGGTTGTAAATGCCTCTCTTCAAACACAGTGTGTTGCCGGGTACCCAACCCACCACCCACCCACTGGTAGGGACATATGTACTCGAGCTCACATCAGAACTACCATCAGCGAAAATAACCCGGCTCACCCGTATGCTCTGCAAAAACACAATTGTTCATGCGCCTATCTCGATTTATTGAGGCAACGGAACAAGATCTGTAGGTGTATGTACAGAATTACAGTTTTGGCGGCGCCAAGCCGTCTCCTTTTACAAATACATCAACATTGGGAACAAGAGCACCAAATGGCAGGTGTGGTTGTGCGAAACACCCCCAGGTCCCCATGCCCTCCTTCATACTATGGCTCTTCTCTGCTTTGTCGCGATAAAACCCTTCATGATCCACTGAACCACTCTGCACAAACGGGCGACCGCAGCGCCACCTATATCAGCACCGCAGCGCCACACGCGGCCGTCGCTCGAAACTCCAATACATATTTACACACACGGGCGACACTAGCTACAGTTATCACAACGTCTAACGGGTTAGTAGCCCAGACAACGGGATCGCACCGAATGAAGGGAAGGGACGGCCACGCTGGCTTTGTACAAATTAGCGGGCTAGGCATCTGCCGGGTTAGCTACAGGACTGCTGGACGCTAGGCGGGCGCAGAACACATGTGGAATGGTTAGAAAACAAACAAACAACAAACGTGACACGACGCACTGTGCGCCGCGCCGGCCGCTGGAATCGGCACGCGGCCCACTGATCCCTCACGAGATATGATTGGAGCGTTAACGCCACCGGCGTACAATAGCGGCTCGGGCCCGCCCCATCTCCGCGCATGGCTTTTGCCGTCTTCCCATATTGGACCCGACTAGACCTCTCAGTCAAATGTGCGCCACTCAGCCGTGGCTTTTATCGCTCAACACATCACTGTCTTTATCCCATCCGTAACATCGCATAAAATCACTCTTAGAACTCCCTCACACATTCTTATAGACATTAACAGTCGCGCCCTCCCACCCCTCTCTCTTTTTATTCTTCCCTCTAGCTGCCTGCGTCGCTCCCCGCAGCAGACCTCATTAAATCGTAAAGAAAGACCTGACCCACGAATTGGCCATTTTCGCGCCGTTTTTTTGGCACTGTGCGGTGTCCCGCACCGCTTCTGTTGTCCCCCTCAGTCCGGCGCGCGAGATTTCGTGGCCGTTGAGCACCATTGGACATCAAATCTCCCATCCTCGCTCCTCACCGGGTCACGTATTACGCGGGAAAATCCAGCCGGTCCCACTGCATGGAAGAGTTGCTGTCCACGCCCCCCATCTTTAAATCGACGCCATCAATCAGAAGCATCTGTAGTGGGTCCGCCGCGCTAGGCAGAAGCGGGTCTCGACTGTTGTGCGAGTCGCTGTTGGCAGGAAGCCACGTATCCAACATTTCTTCCATATCAAAATCAGCATCTGGAGGAGGGTGATAAGAGCTACTCTCCACCGGCTGGACCATCTGCGGCTCCGGTGTGTTGACCTCCCGCTTTAGCTCCGGAGCAGGCTGTAGCTCCATCGCCTCTAGCTCGGCTAGCTCTAGCTCGTCGATGGAGCCAAGCTCAGCCAGGTCAGCGAATAAGTCACTGGCGGACTGAGTGCAGGGAGCGGAGACGGAGGCGGCGGCGGGGCTCGGCTCCGGGGCAGCCCGCTGGCCGCCGCTCGGCTCAATGGCAGCACTGGGAGGCAGCTCTGTGAAAACAGGGGAAATAGACGCAGAGTTAGAGGGGGAAATGAGCTCTGCAAACAGGAAAAGTACATAGTTAGAGGGGCGGGTAGGGGTCTGGAGCGAGACACATACAGAGACGCAGGCCGTATCAAAAGGGGCGGACAATTTTGGAAAGGTATAGCACTGCCGTACAAAGGCAAACACGATTTACGTTCGGGTGACCTCTAGCCTGGTGACGTAATGACCCCTGACCCAGCGTAATCGTTTTTGCCTTTGCACAGCAGAGCAGGGTTAGATGAGCGAACTTCTCAGGAATGAACACAGATGAACAAGCAAGGAATCACACAGACCCTTACATCTCTGAAACGAGACTGAGGATCCAAATGATGTCTGTGACATGACAGACTGGGAAACGCAAAGTGACAGGCTCTAGAACGGACATAGATGATTCTTCATGGCTCCGAGTGGAAGATAAGGATATCTTTTCCAAGCAGGTTACTGAAAAACTGAGCGACGAAGGAGCGAGGTTTTTCTGTTACACGCGAGGAAAAGATATCCGATCTTCCACGAGTGAGCCATGAGGAATCCTATATCTTTCTATGTTGAGGTTTATTCTTAATTATTTAAATATCATATTCAAATGTAGTCATCTATGTCACCGTTAAAAATAGCTCAGTTATTGACCCATCATCACTTGAACTCTTGATTTTTAGTTTTGAACCCGCGAGACCTTATCTTCGCATCTCAGAGGGATGCAGAAATAACAAAGTCTTATCCTTGCATCTCAGAGGAGTGCGAGATAGAAATATCCCTGCACTGTAGACCCAATGGCAAATAAACCTCAACTAGAAAGATAAGGGTGTATACGGGGACACTGGACAGACACAGTTATGGATAGGCAATGGCGTAAGACATGAGGAATGAACACTGAACCTCCCATCCACATCAGCTGTCTCCCCGCGGCGCTGGGCTCACCTCCGTTCTTGATGAGTATCTCCAGTACATCATCTACAGCCTGACTGCGCGACGAGCGACGAGCCGACTGAAATAACGGCAGAGGAGTAACGTTAGACAACGTCCGAATTAACAGGCAGACCATCAAGGAAGACACTGAACTGATTGGGTCGGATTCATGGCATTAGGAAAATATGACAGACGTAATATCCATCACTCATGGAGTGTTGTTCTGAGTGGCGGATCCGAGTACTATTTTTCTAAATTCAGGACATTTTAAGCTGTTATGCTTTGCAAAACACCTAACAGGGATACAGTATGACCTCCCAGAAAGGAACATATCCCACATCACCGCTCTGTTCCATTTTTCCTGTCAGTTTCGTCCCATTCCCTTCAAAGGTGACCAATATCCAAAGACTAGCATTCTGTTGCCTCTCTGTCTAGAGTGTTATACCACTCGACTGTGTCTCTATTTCCGTCCCAGCATCCACCATCCTCACCTTATGGCTGGTGGAGGGTTTGGTGCGCGTGGCCTCCACATAGTCCGGCGGTGGCCGTACAAATCCACCCGGCTCGGTGTACGTCCTGTGAAGGGGCCGGTGAGACTGCTGCTGCTGCTGAGACTGCTGAGACTGCTGAGACTGCTGGTCAGCAGGGCTGCCGGACGGCTGCTCCTGCTGACTTGGAGACAGCTGCTGGTGCTGCTGCAGCTGCGTTAGAAGACCTGGAGAAGAGGGGGGGGGGGTGTCATATGGAAACACAGTTGAGTTACAGGATAGCGCTGTGTGTCCGTCTGCCTTCACTAAGAAGGCCTGGACACTGAACAATGGTACTGGACCCGAAGCGGGTAAGTCATGTGAAGGCACATGTTATCGGGCGACGCAAAGTGGGAAGCTAAGCAGAAAACAATGCATCAAAATTGTTTGCTACATTTGTTGCTACATGGTCCAGGACATTTATACTCGTGTTTCACTTTTTCCTGCCGGTTTACGAATTGCATAGAAATGGTTAGTAAAACAGGACAAGTAAGGCAGTAACATATCCATGAACTCACCGGCGAAGGTAGGAAGAGAGACGGTCCTCTGATGTGACGTGACATGGTTCTGCTGCTGCTGCTGCATCTGCTGCTGCTGCTGCTGTTGTTGTTGCTGCTGCTGTTGCTGTTGCTGCTGCTGCTGCTGCTGTTGCTGTTGCTGCTGCAGGGTCTGCAGCTGTCTCAACATCTGCAGCTGCGTCTGCAGCTTCTGCGCGGCCACCTTCTGCTGTAGGTGCTGCTGAAGCAGCAGCCGTTTGGCGTCTGGGGGCGCCTGCCCGGCCGGCGGGGACTGACTCGTCTGCTGCTGGCTGGTCGCCGGCTGCTGCTGCTGACCGCTCTGCAGACGCAGTAGGTTCTGCTGCTGCTGGAGAATGTGCTGGCTCCGCTGCAGCTCCTCTTTCAGTTCCTCCACTCGCCTCCGCTGCTGTTGAATGGCCTCCTCCGTCACAATATGCTGACTGGGGCCCGGGGAGGGGGCCGGCTGGGATGGGGGCGGGGGTGGGGGTGGGGGCGGCGGGGGAGGAGGCGGAGGCGGGGGAGGGGGAGGCGGTGGGGGAGGCGGCGCCGCGTCGAAGACCTCCTCCAGCTCCATGGGGGCGTCACCGGGCGTCATGGCCACGTCGAATACGGGCGACACGGGCCCCTCCGAGCCCTGACTGTGACCTGCGGGAGAGCAAACACACATAAACGCCGTTAGCGCTTCAGGCAACGACTGGAGACCGAGCGCAATCGCAAATTACATCATCTTTATTACGTTACAAGTGTAGAGCATCGCCTAGAGAGAAGGATGTATTTGGTAGCTATCGTCTTAGTGCACTGAAAACAGGGCTAAGAAACAGTGTCGAAAAGAAAGACGAAACGCTAGGATATCGTTAAATCTCTTTATCCTAGAAAGAAACCTATATCCTTAGAAAGAAACCTAGCACTGTTCCAGATACTCTTGTTTTGCTTTATGCCTTCCATGACAGAAGTCAACGCGAAAATTCAAAATAAAACACAAAACCCAGCTACCCCTGAAACCAAAGCCAAGAAAGACAATCAGTAAAGTTAGCTGCTATCGATCCTGCGTTTCGCAATGGCCGGCTGTAAACACTCACCAAAGTCGACCTGCGACTGGGACGTATCGTCATAACAGCTGTGTATCGAGCCGACGCTGGCCGGACTGGCCGAGGCGATCGCCATCGATACCACGTCCGGTACAAACTGAAACGGGAGGGAAGACTTCGTCATATAACTGACATACACAGATAGACACAAAGCTAGGGTTTGGTCAGAATATGACCTACACACACAAAAACACATACCGAAAGACACTGCCCGGTTTCGGTCAGATAATCGACACACACAGCCATAGGGCAGTGCCCGGTTAAACAAAACAATGAATGCCAAAATAAGGACCAGACTCTAGCATCCAGCCGATATCCCAAGTAAATAGCAGGGTTGGCATTTTTGCCGGCAAAAACTAGTTTATGCCATTTGCCGGTTTTAAACCGGTTTTAACCGGCAAAAACTGGCAAAAACTGGCAAAAACTCAGAAATATCACAATGCTATGCCTAGACATGATTTTGAACAGGAAACATTTTAAGGAGAATTCGGTGAAAGCTTTATGCTTTCAAAAAGAAGTGACACTGACCATTGAAATGTTTCATACCTCACTCAGAAACATTTTCATGGGCTATCCATAAGGAGCTAGTAAGATGCCTTTTGGGGGTGACAAATGAGCCAGTGCAAGGGTGACTGGGTGAGTCCTGCACAATCAGAAGTGCAAAGAGGTATCTGCCACTGATATGCGCACGGCACCGCATGACACCCTACTTACCGTGGCCGCCTTGTCCCTCTCTCCCCTTACATGGAAATACATTCCGTTGTGGATGTCTACCGACATACATAGACATTTTAAGCAGGGATAAGGAATGAGGCAACTTCGGATGTTTAGTGCATCTATATAACTACCAGAAATGCATTTGTACATTTCAAATCCATTCCTGACTAGACAAGTTGTAGGTTTGGCCATCTGAGTTTTAGCCAGTTTTTGCCAGTTCTTGCCACAAGGGTTTCTGCCAGCCGGTTTAAACCGGTTAAAACCACTGGCAAAAACCAGTTTTTGCCACCCCCTGCCAACCCTGGTAAATAGACAGACGAACGATCAGCGAAGTCATGTGATAATAAGCAAAGGGTATGCTAACGGACAGTACCTGGACAGTTTGCTGCTGTTGTTGCTGTTGTTGTTGTTGTTGCTGCTGCTGCTGCTGTTGTTGAGCTTGTTCTTGCTGCTGTTGTTGTGACTGCTGTTGCTGTTGTTGCTGAAGGGGCTGCGACACAACCGACTGAAGATGTACCTTCACCTGGGGAGAGATAGCATTTCCTTAAGTACCCAACAAACAGTGATGACACGAAACGATGAAAAGCTGGCAGGATACTAAGTATTCATTCACTACCTTGCTATCGCAGCAGTAGCATGCATACTGACGCCTGACGGAGATTCGAAACATCCCAGGCCCACACTATTAATTCTGTTGCCATAATTGCAGCCTTCACGTTGAGCGTTGAAGGAGATAGAAGTTCCGTACTCAAACAAACTTTCTTTTGGCCATGGGCTACACTGTAAAATGTGCATACGCTAGTATGATCTAGCGTTTCTCGTGTAACCGAAGTTTGGCCAATGTGTCTCCATATGCCCTGTGCATAGCGTGCCAGACGAATACGACCATGACCTCTGTGTGACCTCTGGTGACCAGACACTGACCTGTCCATCGGCCACCTGCAGTTGTCCCGTGTCCAGGATCAGTCGGCTCACCCCGGCCGGGACGGTAGCCATTGAGATCGGGATGCTTACCTACACAAACACAGCGCAACAGACGGTTAGATGTATCTACCAAACGGTTAGGTACATACATGAAGCAAGGGTATATCGTCGTCCAGCCAGCCACCACATTCATAAGAGGGTCAATACCGTCAGCTTAGCCACCATACGTACGTCGAACATATTAAGGGTTGAACTAATATGGTCAAGGTGACTAACTACTGCGCACAAAAGGGGTTCAGAATCGTCCATCTATATTCTACCACATAGACTAGACTAGGATTTCAATACCACTGAGACAGCTACCCTACAACCAATCGCCAAACCACGTTCAACCCTCCTATCCACAAGAGAATCTCTATTGCCTGAAACAGACTCCTTCCATAGTCAGGAAATCGCATGCGAGAGCGTATTCAAATGCATGGATGCACACTTGCATCAATAGCACGCACCTCCCGCATGCGATTGATGCGGGAAGAATTATAATGTATTTGAATAGGCTCTCGCACGCGATTTCCTGAATGCGGAAAGAGTCTGTTTCAGATTTATCAGGGCCATGCCTTCCCAAACCTACTACCCTAGAGCTATTCGGCTATTTACCTCAATAGCGACAGAGGAACTAAAAAGCAACAACAACAACAACCTCCCCCCTCCTTACCGTGGTCACAGTGGAGCACGGCACAACTGCCGCGGGCACTGCCGAGGGGCTGGCCGTAGCCGATCGTACGGCTGGTGACTGTGCGCGACTCGATGACGCAGAGATTTGGTCGACAAACGGCTTCAGTCGCTCGATCAGCTGTGGCTTGCTGCCTGACACGGGCAGGTTGCGCTTCTTGAGCTCGACGCGCAGGTCGGATACTGTGGGGGAGAGCGGCCGGGTCAGTTAACGCACAATGTACAGGTCTCGCGGGTTTTAGCGGTAGGTTTTGCACCTAGAAAATTTAGTGTACTTCAGGCTATATCTTGGTCGTCTTAAGCTTTTAAGTGTTGAAGATGCGATCGACTTGTTGGGTAACAAGCCGGCCATGATCGTGTAAAAATGGCTTCATCGTAGATCGATTAGTTTCTGAGATATAACCGGAAATGTAAAAGTGCAAAACCTACCGCTTAATCTCGCGAGACCTGTACATTCGGAAATAACGAGGCAGGATAGGTAGTGGTTGATAGGTAGAAAACTACGACAAAAACTGAGTTAGTGTGACGAACATTTGAAACAAACAACGTCCATTTATGAAGATCTGAAGGAAGTATCCCTTCAAAGCGACAAAAATTCACAGTGAAACAGCCTAAGGACAGAGAAAAAAGATGAATTGGAAAATATGGAGACGCCAAACTACAAAGCAAGACAGGCTAAGACCTAGCTCAGCTAGAGTTAAATTTTGCTTCCAGGTTATCGTACATAAATTGCGTTATATAAAATCAAAAACCAAAGCCGACTATCCCCTCCCCCCCCCCCCACATATAGTCAAAGTCTGGCTGTTCATTTATTCGGGATTTAGAGCGGGCCGAAAACAATCATTTGCGCCCATAAATATCTTCCCCACCACTCACCCTTCATCTCCTCCAGTTTAGCGAATCTCGGGTCGCTGGGCGGCGGTGGCGGGGGCGGCGGCGGCGGCGGAGAAGGTGCCGCCCCGGCTACCGAGGCCGTCTGGCTGACTGTGGTGGCCGTGGACGAACCCGTGGCCGATGAGATGGGCTTCTGAGACGCCGGCAGGATTATCTGCGGGTACTGAACGACGGGGCGTGCGAGAACGCTGTCAGTCACTGAAGTGTATGTACAGACGCAGGGGAGTTTGGGGTGCACCTTTCAATCAATGTGACCATCCACAGGGGCTATCCGCAAAATCACTCAATGGATTCATGGCTAAAAAGGGGTAAATAGCAAACAGTATATGATACGGTGACAGCAACCTCACAGTAATTGATAAGCTTCTACCGCAAAAATCCAAAGCAAAGTCATCAACAGAATCACAGTACGCCACACTCTATGAACTTTAAAACATCGGCTTACACCCCATAGCCTCTATAATTTGTCTCTATTGCTTCTATTATCCCTCCATCAGCCTCGCTCTTCTATTTCCACCGTATTACCTACCTTGTGCTGCCACTCGAGCTGCCACTGTAAGAACAGCTGCTGCTGCTGCAGGAGCAGCTCGTACGAACTCTCCCCGTCGGCAGCCGTGGGTAGGGACTGGGAGGCCTTGGTGGCGTTCGGCGGACCCTGCAGACACACGGGACGACAATGATGTTAGTGTGGGTGAGACGCCGCAAGGCGGAGGGGTTGGTGTGATAGCAGCCATTCGAACAAATGTAAGCAATTATATAACTGGCCTGGCAGGTTTACTTCACGGATATGACCGATGATAACGGCTTGGGGTTTGCCGTGCCACAACGATAGAAAGATGGCACCCAGTTGTAAGTCATTTGGTTGACTAAAATAATGTCGCCTCTTCTTGCTATATCATTCCCCATTCCAAAAATTATGTTTACCTTACAAAATATTTACACTTTGTTCAATGACCAAACAATCGCCCCTAATATTCAGCATTTACAGGATTTCATGACAAGTTAAAATGCAATACTTACAATCAAAACAGCATCCTACATCTTCATGCCTAATCATTCACGATATCAACCTACCTTATACTCATGGAACTTGATGGTCTTAGCCTTGGGCGTCATTTTGGTGGACTTTTTCTTCTTCTTGTGGTGTAGCTCCTTCCCGGGCGCCTCGGACCTCTGTGGGGGCGTACCCAGATGGGAGAGAACAGAGGCCGGTCGGGCCGAGAGGATGGACGCACCGGCCACACTCGGTCCTGTAGAAGGAGAGGGGGAGTTAGTGCCACGCCTATGACACTACCTCTTAGGTGGGGGCTAGGTGGTAGCTAGAGGGTTGTCTATGAGAACACTAATCTCGCCGACGAAGAGATACTTCTTAAGGAGAGACAATTCCTGCCTTAGATGATGGTTGGAGTCAAACAAGTGTCGTCAAGATAAAGCTTGAATTAATAAAGGATAACGAAGTGAAAAGGGATAGCATGAATTACTTCTTGACGTCATCAATTCTGCTAGCTATTTCCATTTGGACATCCGTTCCAACCAAAACCTCAAAGTAAGCGCAACATTGTTGCCCTGACATGTCCATCCCTTCATTGCACTTCCCACAAACCGTTCCACCCCAACTCACCGGGGCTGATGGTTCCAATCGACTGCGGGCTGCTGACGCTGCTCAGCGGACTCAGAGTGCTCACACTGCTCCCAGCGCTGGGTGAGATAGCCGACACGGGCGGCGGGGGCGGCGGCGGCGGCGGCGGCGGTTTGGGAGGCGCCGCAGGGGACTGGGGTGGAGCGCCGCCGTCCGGACTGCCCGCGTCCGAACTCGAGTCGTCCTCTGTGCGGAAGAAGGCGGCGGCCGGCTTTCGACGCGCTTCGCCCTGGGAGGTGGGGCGGAAGTCGATAGCACCCTCTGTTGGTAAAGAGAGAAATGTAAGGTCAGTTAGGTCAGGTCAGGTCATACCAAAGACAAATGACATTTGCTAGTTGTCACATAAAAAAAAAACAGTAGCTCCCCGGTACACTACCCGATTATAGTTGACAGATTGGCAAAATAAAAGTACAATCAGTAATCACTGAAGGGGCGAATCGTGCCATTGTAAGTTCGTAACACAGGAAAGAACAATGCCAAATTTACTGCAGGATATTATTCCAATACTGAATACACTCGCCCAGACAGGCATGAGTGCTTCCACTTCTCTGACGTCAATTTTAGTTTCAGTCAAAGCAATAACTGCGTCCATTTTACACTCTCCTGACTCTAGCTCTGTACACTCTACGGATACAATCTCTACATATAGCGTGTAGTGTGTACTGAGTAGTGTCTAATGTTAAGTGTGCTATGTGTAGTGTGTGTACTGTATAATGTATCTGCCCTCGTCCACCCGTACCCACCTTTGACAGCCTTCTCGACCGTTTCATCCGTGTGCAGGATATTCGCCTTGATAAGCTCCAGCACACCCGGCCGATGTGACAGCTGAACATTCAGAGCATCCGCCAGCCGGGCCTTCTTCAGCTGCCGCTGCTTCTCCACCAGAGCAGGATGCACGTTCCCAGTGTCTTCGAGAATGTGCTGACGCACTAGCTCCTGCCGGTCTGGCCTGCGCTGGATCTTGGCCTTGAGGAGGTCGCCCGTCTTGGCTCGCTCCAGTCGCTGGCGTTGCTCGTAGAGTGCCGGTGATGCCTTCAATGCTGTTGGGGAAAGGGAAATTCGAGTCAGAGTAGGCTAGGTGACAAAAAGATGCAGGGAACCAAAGTGTGTGTTGTGGGGGGGGGGGGGTGTTAGTAAACACTTCATAATTACAGCAAAGGCTTCAGAATCAGATGCTTCTCCTTACAGTCCTACACCCCACAAACCATTGGAGAATGTTTCTATTTAGCGTGTGATGTCTTTTCATGTAAAATCCAGCCTCAAAGAAACGACTGTGCACGGACCATTTTTAAAGAAGTGACTGGGTAGTCTAGCAGCTAATTCGCATGGTTCTTGTCAAAGATTTTATCCCACATGTGGGTCACATCAATTGAGGTCGGAGATGAGCATTCATCTCAACTGAGATCGTCTTTAAACAACGATAAATGATCCATAACGGTACGAACTGACGACACTGAATCAGAAACAAGCTATCTGCGATCTGACCCCATGTTTCTCCTCGCATTGCATCCTGCTTTCGTGTTCGAGCCTGCACCCCAACCAAGACCATAATGTTTTAATAAACAAAATACAGATGACTATCGTTATAAATGGAGACGATTCACGTCGTTCGTAATTCGCAACTTGCAGCTTATCTTCTGAGGCTTGTTCGTAAGCTCAGTTGCAGCCTGTTGGCAACCCAAAGAAATTGAGCGATTCGTAAGCAATCGTGCTTGTCTTGTAGGCTTAGGAGGCAGCCCATGAAAAGTGATATCCGAGATTCATTCATTCGCGTACTAGACATTACAAATGCCAATTAGCCCTGGTCGATCAAGGGGTTTCCTGAATAATATGCACAACGAAGTTCCAGTGTTCTGAGATCGACTTCAAAACCATTATCCCGTCTTAGACGTTCGCCAAACCGCCGCTAAAGTCCCACCCGTCCCGGCTCCTTCAGTACTCGTGACATCGCAATGTACCGTTTTTCCGCCACCGGGCGCCGCTGAGTAAGATAAAGTAGCGAGAGCTCATCCCCGACAGAGAAAGGGTGCGCGGCGTCAGGACAGAGGAATGGGAGGAGGAGGAGTCAGGGGTCAGAGGTGACGCCCCGTTTCTGGCGCACGCGCGGTAGGTATGTCCGGAGGGCATATTGTATGAGTCACCGGGCGTTTTTAGATGCGAAGACAGTAGCTCATCGCGTTGCGGGATGTATTTCTTACATCGATCAAACTCGGGTGATGAACTAGGCAGTGCTGCGGGGTCAGAGTCAGAGTCGGAGTTGGTCGGAGTCAACAGTTCTGACCGGGGTCGGAGTCGGAGTTTATTTTTTGAAGCCGGAGTCCGAGTCTGAGTCGAAGTCACCGAAAATCCATCAACTCAGCAGCCCTGGAGCTAGGAAACTCAAGAGACTATACCTGATTTGGCCAGATGTCAAGATTCACTGAGCGTTTTGATGTTCTGAAATCTGAACAAAGTGCTACTAATGGACAAGTGCCCAAAAAATGACAAAGTACAGGTCAAAGACAAGGTACAGACAAAGTACAGGTCAAGGACAGGTCAAAGACCATCCGCACCCTTCTCCAGCATGAACCCGTTCTCTCTCCATGTGAGGAACTGCCTTAGATTGCACGACTATAACACCATGACACGGTGCTTGTCCTTGCTATGATGAAGCACCTATAGCTTGCAGTCCACCCTCTTACGGGACCTGCAGTCTGTTATGGCTGTGTTAGGTAGCTATTCAACAGAGGAGCGAAGGGCGGTTAGGACAGGAAGACACCCACGCAAGTCGTTTGGAAGGACGGAGACCGGTGACCGCCCACGCAACATTGGATGACTCGTCCCACGCTGGGTGGGGTTCGTTGGAGATAGTACGAAGGAGGGCGCCATCCACTTCGTCATGATAGCGGGGAGGTGGTATAAGGTACGGCTGACAAAAGTTGGCGTTGCTTTGGAACAGATCCGAGCAGGTCGAAGTTTGAAGTTGATGAAGTTGGCCAAACTTGGTTCATGCCAGGGCTGTTATGTTCTACAACCTGAAAGGTCCCACTCCCAGGATTCCCAAGCAAGACAACACTGGCATAAAAGAACGGTGATGAGATAAAACTTGAGATCAAATGCGAGCGTTTCATATCAAAATACTTACACGGAAGAATGCCCTGGTCAACCAGTTGGTTCATGGGTCTCCTGGTCATCAATTTGACCTTCAGAGCTGTGGGTGACATAAGAGGAGCGGGGTCACGAAACAGATCAATAACGAGACACGGGGACCAAAAAAAAAAACAGTGCAGTACACTTTACTAAATCGTATTGTGCAAACTTGATAAAAAAGTATCAGTTTTTTTTTCTTTCAAATACAGGTTTACAGTAAAGCACTAGACTGGTGCAAGAAAGGATATACAGTAAAAGTAAAGTAAAAGGATATATGTAAAATTGAATGGCTAGATATTGGACATAATGGTAATAAATAATGGTGAAGAGAATAAACCGTATGAATGCATGGACGATAAATCATTACACTTAGAATACGCTGAAAACCTTACGACCAACAAACGTGACAGAAATTGCGCAATAAACGTGACTTAAACCGACAGAAGACATGATATATTCGACAGCACTTTACATAGGTAATACTATAAATCAAGGCCGAGCTCCCGAAGCCTAGACACTGATCTATTTCTAGCCATTAGTATTCAATACACCAAGATCGACTAAATCCTCCCATCTCGATGGTCTCATCACGTTTTCGCCATCCATGAACTTTGATTTATACGGGCCAGCTATACGCTCACGCACAGACAAACGCAGCAGGTTAAACCCAACGCATGCCTACTCGAGAAAGAATGTCGTGCCAAGTTCGGACACCCAATTAAAGCACTTGATCAGATCAAACAACTGACGGAATAGAAGATGGCATCAGCCAATGTAAATCATTTAGGGGCCAATGGGGATGGTATCAGAATGGAAACTAAAACAAACGACAAAAATAAATGGAACAAGTCACTGATAAATTATCTCACTGGGCTTGACACGACCTGGACCTGTTTAGATTAATACAGTAAAATAGGTAACCTACCACATTGGAAACATGTAACACATGTGTAACGACTGAGTATGATAAATACACAGGCACGATAAAAGGAGCGGAGAGAGAGAGAGAGAGAGCGAGAGCGAGAGCGAGAGCGAGAGAGAGAGAGAGAGAGAGAGAGAGAGAGAGAGAGAGAGAGAGAGAGAGAGAGAGAGAGAGAGAGAGAGAGAGAGAGAGAGAGAGAGAGATCCGTCTCCATGACTTCTACATACCACTCAAGTAACCAACCACTCACAGAAATACATACCTACCCACATCACTTTCAAGGTTCCTCAGTAAGGGAAACGATACCCCTTTCCTAAGGTCCGCTGTCAGGAGCCATGAGTCATGACTACTGACTACTCACACTCTTTGTTTCGATCCATCTGTTTCTGCAGAGGCGACTCATCCACCTCTGCCTGGGGTGGCGAGAGGGGGATGATGGGGGGCGGGGAGCCCCCTCCCTCGGCCATGTCGAGCTGTTCAAAGTCGAAATTCTGCCGGCAGAGAGGGGGACAGAGTGGTCAGTAGAGGTCATGCGCGGGAAGGTAAGGGGCTAGAGAAGGGGAAGGGCTGTCAGCAGGGGTGACATTACGCACAGTGAGCTGGGGTTGGCCAGTGACCTATCACAAGAATTACAGCAAAACCAACGGCATTTGAGTTAAATCAAGTTTGGTTACTTATCAACATCTGCAAACAATGCAACGCATGCTATATCATCAACACCTTGGTCAACAAGACCCATCCCTGGGTAGAACTGCAGGATTCCTTCCAGGGCTTAGGCAGAGCTGTATAATGCTCCCCTAACGCACCTTACGAGCCCTTGAGTCCCACCCCTTCCAACTCATCCCAAAGTGCAACATAGGGGCAAAGAATCCCTGACAATAAGCTGGGCATACAGAATACTCAGTTCCACAGTCCAGCACCTCGATACAACCATGGCAACTTAGCCACGTCACAAGCCAATCGACCAGCCTGAAGAAGTTTCCATCGGCGCCGGTCGCGGGTTAGCCCGGATGGGTATGGGCGGGGTCCTTATCAGCTGGGCCATCGGGCCACAGACGTAAGTGACGTAGGCGAAAGCCGGGCAGAAACGAGCCAAAGAGAATGAGTTGAATACTGAGCGCCGAGCGTCTGAGTAAATGGTACTCGTACGATATTTATCAGGTCACCAGTGCACTGGAACTACAGTTACGCACTACATACCTATTGCGGACAAGAGTACCACGGCTGCTGTCGAGAGCGCACACACCAAATAACGAGCAGACAACAATTAGCTATCCAACGCATAAGGATTTGTGTAAAAAGCAAATGAAAATGCTCACAAATACCTACATAACATAATTACAGCAATAATGAGGCATCTTTTTGCACGATATACATACTTGTCACCGAGTGAAACCCACCCAAGGAATCTATGCAAAGTTGGAGCATAGCCCAACAACAACACAACCTAAAGAAACGGTCTAAACAAAACAATACTGGCACAGGAATGCAATGCCTTGAGCCAAGTTATCCGTACAGACAGACAGTACCCAACAACCGCACAGAGACCGTCCTTGGCAACCATTTGGGTCAGCAACACGCGGTAATTTAATAACCCATACATTCAGCGCATTGAGAGTGAAATAACACATCAGTTTTTACCACCTATGCAGAGCTGCATTTGCATTCAGGCCGAACGTTCATACCGATCACGTAGATAGGGCAATAACAATGGGGAACTTGGTGCAAAATATGAGCGTGGCGTAACCATTTCCAACACTGTTTACCTCGGTATTACATGCTTAACGGTGACACTGCGCTCGTATTCACATAGCCCAGTCTAGCTAGAGCAAACGCCGCCTCTTTCCAACCAACAAAACCGGTGCCAAAATCTCACCAGGGACTGGTGTCTAGCGTAACCTGATGGGCGCGCCAGATAGGTCTCCCACGCGCCACCGTATGTCGCTAACAGATCGAACAGCGCGAGGACAGTCGTCTAGCAGGGATATAAAAAACAAACAGCGAGAGGCGAGAAGGTCAATAAAAGGATAAATGAAAGCCGACCCGATGTTATGAGAATTGAAAGGAGAGAACAAGGAACGATCCGCATGATATGTGCTTTGCTCCACGTTCGCAAGACCTGCACGCACATAAATTTATTACCACAATTTGTTTCATCAGGCAAAACTTTTTTCAATGAAAATGTTCATTAAGAAGTCTAACATCAATAGATGATTGGGAATATCAAAATGGTATCTGGGCAATGATTTCTGTTTCCGGGCAGACCACCCAATAGTCCCGTCGAACAACATACTTCAGGTCAACCAAAGGTCCAATTCGGGACACCAAAGGTATTTATACTCGTCTCTGATTGGCTGACGAGTCGATGACGTCAACGTTAGAGGGATGACTGGGTCGCTCGAGGGAGGAGGAGGGGTTTGGCACAGTGCCGGAAAGGGGAGGGGGAGTCAGGGCCAGCTGCCAGCACTTCGCTGGCGGTCAGGAGGTGCCATGACTCCACAGGGGGAACCACACAGGAGTTCATGGCACAAGAACAGCTGTTTAACAGATGGAGTCATTTGAGTCAACGCCGTAACAGTTATGTCACGCGCTGGACGCCGGCCAACATTCTCGAGTCAGAGTCAACAGATAAAACGGAGCATGTGGTGGTGTTGCTATAGGCGAGTCATAGGAGTTATGGGGCGAGTCATCTGAGTCATAGATTACGTCGGAGACGGCTGAATAGAGTCAGATTAAATGAATTAAAGGATTTAAAAGTACACCTAGCCAAGCACACCGCACGTCTAGGCGATGCCGGGTAAATTTGACGTGGGATCCATCGGTCAAATTAATCACACATCCATGCTTCACGAACCCATACCTGTCAAGACGAGAGCACACCTCACGAGTTTAAAAATCACCCCGAACCAGTAACCACTCTGGATAGAGTGATGGTATGGTGAGCGGTGAGCAGCCTGTGTTCTCACTTTAGGGTGAGCAGCAGGAATAAGGCACTTACCCTGAACCACTCTGGGTAAAGTGATATATAGTAAGCATGATGATGATATAGTGAGTAGCCTGTGTCCTCACTATAAGACAAGCAGTAGGTGGACACTTTGAACCACTCTGGATACAGTGACGATATGGTGAGCAGCAGGCGTAAGACACTTACCCTGAACCAGTAACCACTCTGGAAAGAGTGACGGACGATATGGCCACTGGGCGGTGGGCAGCGGCCTGTGTTCTCGCCCTAAGAAAGGCAGCAGGTATAAGGCACTCACCCTGAACCACTCTGGATAGAGTGACGATATGGTGACCAACAGGTCCGGGTCGAGCTGCACGCCCCAGTACCAGAACTCGCGGTTGTTGCTGATTATCCTCAGTCCCGACTCTGAAACGATAGAGAAAACAGACGTCAGGAGGGGGCGACTAGCGGGGGATGGGGGCGTGGTGCAGGGGTGCGTATTGGAACAAGTTTTTTTAGCTTTATCCCACACAGTTTGATGTCGAAAGGAAATGTTGATAGAAATATAAAAAAACAAAGGAAACATAACCGCTGCAAGACAACTGACAAGCCGCTGCAAGCACAAAAACATTCAGTTAATTTAGTTCGTCCAGTTCAGTAAGTAACGAGCATGAGTAAGTTACTTGTTATTGAGCAAAACTCATTGAATGAAACGACTACATAAGACCACGATTCGAACCTCTGAAGACCGGCATAAAAACGTCTCTCCCGGATGCCACCAGCCCGGTGTTCCTAACCACCAGCAGACACCACAACCACCAGCCAATTTATTTATCCCTCCAACTACAGCACCCCAGACGAATGCCTCCTTTCAGGATGGTTCGCCCCAATATGCTGCTACCACAGCAAAGCTCAACGGCCCGGCCAACAGAGGTCTGACCTCGACTCTATCGCGGCACGAGCCGACCAGAACGGAAGCCCAAACTACATACCACCGCCCCATCCCTCCCCGAATTCCGCACCCCGTCCCTCTCCCCGAATACCGGGCGAGTTTTGGCGCGGAACGGGGCTACATCACACTGCCTTATTGTTGGTTCTCGGGGCTGGGAAATACGCAATGCCCCGCACAGTGGGATTGGTGGGCAGATATTTCACATGCACCAACCATCTAAAGCAGCCGCCACAGTCAATGTTTTTTATGAAAAAAAACAACATTTCGAGCAGAAGTCAGACGTAGAGGAAGATGTTTAAAAATAACAGCTTCTGAATGATGGTATAAACGTGCATTTGGGATGTCATCTTCTTTCAAAAACTACGCCTTGCTTACAGATGTCCACCACAACTCCACGCTTTATTATCGCTCTATCAGACATCCTGCTCCCATTCACCGACCTGAACAGCGGCCAGCGAAGGCCCACCCTCATAATGTGTATCTCCACGCACCCTGAGGCCCTACGGTTTCCACACTCCCCAATGAGACGGACGTCAGTTTACTCGGTAATATCCATTCACTACTAGTGGCAGTCCTCTATTATCCCTACACATCTCGGAGTCAGAAGTGATTACTTATGAAGATGGACAGGCGATGTCATGGACCATATGGATCCACATTCCAACCAGCAGCGATTGGCTCACTGAGAGAACTATCAGTGAGTGATTCGGTGTAATAGTGACACATTGGTTATGGTCCGATAGCCGTGAAGGTACAAATGAGATAAGTTCTAGTGCTGAAGATACATTGTGACAGCGTACGAGCATGACGGCGTTTTATGAATGGAAGATACGCAGTTGCTGTCGTACTCATGCCAAGGCTAGTGCACATCGGGAGCTGCCGTGAAACCTGGCGACACCTGAAGTGGGAGAAAAGGATGCCAAATCAAAATGATCAGAGCGACAGCTGATAAACACAACTGGAGCCCACTTACTTTTACAGCGATCTGTAGGCCCATTGCTGGAGGACCACGCTAGTTATTCACTGCACAGAACACTACGCCTGGAGGGCGGCAGCATACAGATATTAAAAGCACCTCTCTAAACAATAGTGCGCCACACGCAGATCCATCAGCGCATGTCTTCCATCCCCCGTCTGTCACTCTCCCTGTCAGGTCCCCTCTAGACCTCCCTGATCTCAACCTCGGACAGCTCACCGCCCGCAGCGCTCCACCATTGTGAAACGCGACAAACTTGACGCGCGCGCGCGCCAGGCTGATAGAATCTCAACGCAGTGCGGCGACGACCTCCACCGTGCGTCAGGTCAGGTGAGTCTCCATGGGGCGCCTCTTGGCTCGGTCAGGTCGGTCAGGACGTAACGCACGTCGAGCGACAGAGCGCATTGTGGGTGGCGAGGACCTCTGAGCGATGACCTAGTGCGGGCTCCATCAGAAGCATCTTTTGGTCATTAGAAAGGTTAGTAAATGGCTACATGCCGCGGTCTGTAAGGAGGGCCATACATCAGAACAAGACGCAAGGGAGGTAGGAAAAGAGGGAGGGGAGGGAGAGGGGGGAGAGAGGCACATAGCTGATGAAAAATTACGGCGCCATGCGAGTTTCCAAACAGGCGGTCGATGGCATTTAAGTGCAGTGTTAGGCGATTACGGATATGGCCATAAGTGTTGAATGGGAATTTCATCCCCAAATACGACGTGCCTGCTTCAGGATACTTAAATCCGTTACGTATCCTGAATCCTGAATCGAAATACTTCACGATATTTCATTCCGTTAGGTATCTTGAATCCTGAATCGAACAGCTAACCCCGGTCTGCTCAGCAAAGCAGCTCAACAAGTGCCACCCATACCGCCCCGCCCAGACACTAAGCCAGTCAGCCGGCGCCCTTCGCCCTGTTGCACGCACCGTGCAAGAACAGCTCTGACTTGGGTGGCGGTGGGTAGGCCAGGGGGTGGGGGTGGGGGAGGGGGGCGGAGAGCAAGTGAGACTCACGGAATAGTTGTGTAACGGTTACCAGGCAAGACTCACGAGACAGCCTTCGGCGGTTGCTAAGCCAGACTCACGGGATAGAGCATGGCCATTGCAAAGCGAGAAGCACGGGATAAAGTAAAGCAGCGGCACTGATCTCGAAGCCCAGGCGACGGCCCTCGCATGGCTGTAACCAACATCTCATAGACAGCTCGTGATTCCCACCACATTGGTCGAGAGAATATTAGCAACTAGCAAGGATTCCAGACTATTCCAGAATAACTCTCGGGTATAGCCGTGAGAATGACGAGTGACTAGACCACGATGACAGGGCCAGGTGAAGGGAGGATAGACGGACAGGGAAACATACAAGGTTTCTGCTGGAACGAACAACGTTTCCTGTCATTCGCTTGTAGACGTGGCGGCATAGCCCACGAGCTACACCGCCGCATGTCAGCAGCTTAGTAGCACGGTAGCCGCTGCATTTGATTGAGCAACAATCCAAAGCTCGAGGGTGTGTATGCCTGTAAGGCTGTCAAGAGTTGAGAAGAATCGACAGCTACAAATGCCCACAAACGTGCAAACATGTCCATATCTACATGATACGAGCATATGGAAAGCAAGATGCAAGAGCAAAACAGCGAAAGCCAGATGCTCTATCCCAAACGGCGTAACCCAGGAGCTTCAGCCACGCTTCGAGCTTTTCATCCAGCGCTATCTCACGACTCCACATCATATCTCTCTTGGAACGGGAAGCGGGCGGGTCGCAATGGCCAATAGAGAATGACGAAGAATTGACTATCAATTGGCGATAAAACGCGCCGCACCTAGCCCAGACGCAATCCGGGTTAATCAACTGCACTGTACGACGGGTTGAGTCAGAAGGGGTCAGCGAGGGTCAACTATGGTCAATTAGGTCAGAAAGGGTCACGGTAGAGTCTGGGGTTGACCAGTTGACCAGATGTTCAAAAAGGTGAGAGAGATCTTCGACGATCTTGGGTTATACTTGGCTTAGTGAAGCTCGAAGGGTAATAATAAACACATCCGGCCTCCGCCAAGCCTTATATGAAAAGGACTCGCTGGGTCATCACTTCAGGTTTTTGTTCGTCACTTCAATCATGCCGGTGACCAGTTATGAAAGTTTCCAGCAAACGCTGACCAGTCCACTATGTTATCTGCCTGACCGAGCACATCAAGCGCTTATGGCGAGCATGCATGCTGAATGCCATCGGCTCTTCTATCATTGATTCTACGATTCAAGAGGCGAGGCTAGAAGACAGGCACCGGATGGGTACTGGTACCAAATGTGCACAGAAACTCAGCTTGGGCAGCGTGGGCGTCAGTCAAGCGTGGCACGCTTCAATAATCTTTCTTCAGAGCAAACGTTGTTGGAAATAAGAAAGAGATTCTTCTACATGGGTTCCGTATTCCAAATGCCACTGATGGCCGCAAGGTGATTGAAAATATTTGACACACCACTTCTATTGGGCCAATCACATAAAACCATGTCACACATTGGAAGGGTGTACCGAAGAAAAAGGTTCAAATAATGTTTTATCCCATGGTCACGACCTTCTTGGCATGTGCAGATGATATAAATGAAGCGCATCTCCAGTCGATTTGTCATACCACGGCATAGATTCAGCGGTCAATCATTGACCTTCTCATCATGCATGCAATGATGGTGCATAAATGATGATAAGCTACCAGTATAACGCCTTTTGGGGCGACCAACGGAGCGAGCGAGAGGGTGGGCCTTGCACGTGCGAAATTGCGAGGGGGTACCTCCAACTGACTTGTGCACGGCACCCTACTAACCGGTCTCTAGCGACGTGCCAAATTTGGGCACAATCGGCCCAGCCGTTCTCGAGATCTGGAAGCGGCACCCTGCACGTGCGCACGTGCAAAATGGGTCCCAACTGACTTGTGCACGGCACCCTACTAACCGGTCTCTAACTGTGTACCAAATTTGAGCGCAATCGGTCGAGCCGTTCTCGAGATCTGGAAACGACCCCTGCACGTGCGCACGTGCAGCAGCACCCCAACTCTGGCACATGGATATGCATTGCCTAGTGGGTGCCTACCTACATGCCAACTTTCAGCGCAATCGGCCAAGTAGTTACGGAGATATTGCAACAATTACAAAAGTGACACCTCTTCGTTTTGCACGTGGCACGTGCATAAGGGGTCACCCACATGCATCGGAAATAGTCCAATACTTGGTAGAAGGAATGAAGCTACCCTACAAAAATTACCGCGTGTAAATCGGTCAAGTGGTTGCTGAGATATAAGCCTCGCAAAAGCGTGACCACGGCCGGCCGGCCGGCCGGCCGGCCGCTCATACTCAGAAATTTCCGTTAATCTAAGGAAAGACTACGCTCGCTTCGCTCGCTCCGTAATAACGAAGTGGTGACTCAAGCACGGGTCCGCGTTAGATAGACACGCAGGCAACCCCACTACTAGCCCGTCTCCAGTCTCCCCTAACGCCCCTTCGAGCACTCAGGGGTCAGGA